CTCTGATTCTTCTAGTCTACTGTAGAAACCTTCCATGGTGTTTTTGATTGTAGCTATATCACTTTATATTTCTTCCTGATTTTTGCATAGGTTGTTGATTTTCTTGTCCATCCAGTTTATGAACTGTAGAACTATTACTGTGAATTCTTTTTCTGTCATGTTGCATATCTCTGTTTCACTTATTTCCTTTCTTGGTGATTCCTCTCTTTCTTTCCTCTGGGAAATGTTTCATTGACTCCCCATTCTAACTATCACCTGAAGGTCCAATTTCCAAGTTGTGTGGGCCTAGGCTGTGTACAGTGAGAGCTTTGCACCACCCGAGTGTCACTGAAGAGCCCTGAAACCAAGACATGTGGTTGTTATGGGTTGATGGGAGCCACACTTGCCCAGGATCAGAGTCACTGGCTCTGAGTGTAACCTCGTGTGTGCACCTATAACCACGGACCCCAAATTCACTGTGTTGAAAAAGAGGCCCTGCTGGCATGTGCTGAAAATCAGAGTCCTTTAGCATGCACCAGGAGTCAGTGTCCCCCTGTGCCTATGTCGAGAATCGAGTATCAGAGTCTCTGTTGTTTGGTGCAGCCTCGTGTGGAGAATCAGGGTCCCTATGCGCACATGTGCCAAGAATTGGAGTCACTGGCTCTTAGTGTGTGTGCACTGGGAATCAGGGATCCCATGGATGTACGATGAGAATCACCATCAAGTCAATGGTGCTCAGTGTTGCTTCTCACACAGAGAATCAGGGTCCTTGGTCTGCTTGGGGGACTGGGTTACACAGCTATCCTGTGTCAATGGTAGGTCCATCCTGAGCTGCAGGAAACAGATTTCCATATGTGCTCGCCCAGAATCAAAGTTAGGTGGCACAGCTGCCTTGTGTGGGCCTGGGATTTGGTCATGCAAGTGCATGCTGTGGGAAACAGACTCCCTGTGTCTGCATACCCAAGCTCAAAGTCAGGTACTACAGCCACCCTGTGTGAGCATAAGGTCTGGTTGCGTAGTTGTGCACTGTGGGAAACAGATTCCCTATGTTCGTGTGCCCAGGTTCAAAGTCAGGAGCACAGCCTTTCTGTATGGGTGTGGTGTCAGGTTGTGCGAGTGTGTGCTGCAGGAAACAAACTCCCTGTGTCCACGTGCTCAGGCTTGTGGTAGCACAGCTGTCCTGTGTGGGCAGGAGGCCTGCTTGCAAATAGCAGATGTAGCAGTTCCTATGCCTCTGCAGTGAGCCTGCGGGAGGGGAATGGGCTCTGTGACTCACAGAAATCCAGAGCTGGGATGCCTGGAGTCTTGGTACTGGAGACTAGGACATCAACATATGAATTTGAGGGGATACAACCCAACCCATAATAGTGCCTATCCCATGGACATTACATATATATGATAGTCAAAGAATGTAGGCACTTCTGTGCCTGAGCAGGCAGAGAAAGCCTATTTCAGAAAACACCTGGCGTGTCAGCTCTCAGCCCAGCAATAGTCTGTCTGGACGATTTGGGTCAGGCCCACCTTTCTGGAGGTTGGCAGTCATTCAAGTCCCTCCTGTTGGTGGCTTCGAGGCACCCTCTACTCTGTGATGTAGAAAGCCCAGGCACCCCAAGGGCAAGACGGACAAGAGCAGGATGTTGAGAGTGCTGGTCTGGAAGATCAGGACTAGCCACTCCTAGTCTGGGAGGTCAGTATCAGCCACTCCTGGCTGCCGGGAACCTGAGTAACTACTGACATGAAAAGTTTCCCCACAAGAAAGGAATGTGAGTTACCTGCAAGAAGTCACAGGGGCAGACCTGTCTGGCACACAAGCCCTGGAGGAGCTGGGGTCCTTTATGCTCAGCCAGCCTGTGCTTAGTTCTCGCCATCCAGCCAGTGGTTCTCTGGAGTGAGTGCTTGGTCAGCTGTCTGACGTCCTTTGTTTCCTCAGCAGTCCCCCCACCCTGACACAGATCCCATGTCTCCCACAAGGGAGCACTCTGAGGTGACAGGAGTATGCACCAGTGGGGACACAGGTGGTGTCTGCTCATTCCCCTATCAAGCTGGTGTTTCTGCTTAGGCCCTCTGGACCCCTGCCCCACCCTTGCTGTTCCTACCACTCAGACACAAGACCTCTCCATGTCCATTTTTTATTTAAAGACTCAGAAACACAGCATCATAGTTTGTCATCACTGTAAATTCTTCTGAAGTCACACACACTGACATTTGTGTATAACAAAACCATTACGGTGTGTGTGTGTGAATTGTGCAAAGTACAAATTATTCCCAGCTGGGCCACTGAGCTTATTTGGTGCACTAGAATCAGGGGGTTCTTGTCCAGCTCTGTCTCACCACAACTCTCCCATGGTCCTCTGGTGGCCTCATATCCCCATCACCTCGGTGACCTCCCTCAGTGGATTCCACTGTGCTCCTCAAGGCAAGTCACCTTGGTTGCTAAATGCCACTGTGCACCCAAGTTGAGTGAGTCCCTGGGCCAGGAGGGAATGTAAGGGTTTCAGATAAGGTGTTGTTTCACCTTAGAAAACAAAAGGAGTGTGTCCCTTGAGGCAAGATGGCCTGAAGGAAGGGTCTAAGCCTGCTCCCGCTCTTGTCCGTGGGTTAAATGGTCACGAAGGCTGATGGGTCTGACTGAACATGTTTGAAAACAGTCAGCCTAAAGCATGGGGCCTGTTGTGCAACTGCCTGCCCTCTGAGTGCCCAGCATTTGCCCTGAGAGCCCCTCCTGAAGAGGGTGCCTGGCTGGGGGGCATTACTTCTCAAGTCAGTCCCAATGGCCACCCCTGACTCAGCCTCAAGCTAAGCCAGCTGATGCCTTGCAAACACACTGCTGTGAGAGGTGCTGACCCCATGGCTGCTGCTTCCCCCACAGTCACTGAGCTACTCAGCACTTCTATCAACCAGAGCACCATATGGGTCATGGCAGGAAAGAAAAGAAGGTCCAAGTTAGTCTATTCTGTTGCATGATGACTACTGTCAGTTTTTTTGTTTGTTTGTTTGTTTGCTTTTTTTTTTTTTTTTTTTTTTTTTGCCTCTTCTTAGTATGTGAGAATGTGAGTTAGTTCTGGTTTCAGTGGAGAATACCTGTCTCAGTCAGCATGTTTTTGTCAATGACATGATTTTAAGCATGCACATGATTGATGTGCAAAGTAGGCAACTAAGTTGGCAACTAATAGTTGCCATTAACATGAGCCAAGGGATCCCTGTATTTAAACTGCATTTATTTCCTTGATTTAGAAGAACTTTCTCAAACCTATTCAATCTATTACTAGCAAGGAAATGAGCCTTTCTATAGGAACATTGCAGCATGGTAGCCACTTGGCAGTAACAAATATCCCAATCACATCCCCAAATAGGAAATCTGAAAATAAGTGTTTGTATTTCAGAGGCATCACTCCATGTGAGGGAATGGGTTTCTGGATTTTGTTGCATCCCTAAAAATCAGGGATAGCTAATTTACTCAGCCTAATTTAAACCTGAGTGATCTGTAAAATGTATATAGAGAGTTTATAAGTTGTGACTCTGAACAGATAAGAATGTATTCCTAAGGTGTGAGTCTCTTGAAAACAAGACTGTCTTGTGACAGGGCTCTGTGAGGCAGCATCTGTGGAGATGAGCAGTGTCCTGGACCCCACCTGTGGGGGCCCAGGGTTGGAGTTGCCCATCCACCTCTCCCTCGGTTCCCTCCCAGCTCCCCATTTGCAGAGGACTTACTTCTGCTACCCCATGGACCTCCACTCTCTAGACCAGGTTCACACTGCCTGACAAGAAAGCAGTTATCTATATATATATAAAGAGCCAGGGTCATAACATTCAAATGGTCAAAGGCTCGACTATGCACAGCAGGCAAGCACAGAACTGCTGACCTCAAAGAGAGAGAGAGAGAGAGAGAGAGAGAGAGAGAGAGAGAGAGAGAGAGAGAGAGAGAGAGAGAGAGGCAGGGCTGATCAGTAGTGACAGGGGCTGCTGGCAAGGCCTGGAGCCAAACCTCTCTCTTTCCCAGAGGTCAGTTCAGCCTGGTGTGGCTGCTATTCAGACTTGCCTCTATGATCAGGCCTGGAGATAGGCCCTGAGATGCTGACTGGCACAGAAACCGACCAATAAGAACCAAATCTGGGTGAATTTTGAGAAGTCAATGGCTGCGTAGGAGGTGGAGCTTTTGACACTGACTGGCATAGAAACTGATCAATCGGAACCTACTATGAGTGAACTGTGAAGGCAGAACCTAAGGTGGGGGCTAAGGAGGGGTTTTAAGGGCAATAGTTTTCTGGTGTAAGGTGTTAGGAAGTGGTTCAAGTTTTTAATGACCGGTTTGGCAGTATAGTGCATATGGCTGGTTATCAGTCCAGATGTAGGGATTATGTGTTTATGTATGCCAAGAGCATCTTCTACTGATGAAAAAGGCTCTTTCCCCCCCCCCCCCCCCCACTTAAGCAATCCTAGCCTATATAATAAAAGGGTAATATGCTAATTAGACCAGGTCAATAGGCCATCATTCAGACATCCCACTTCCTTCTGGACAAAGCCATGGTGGTGGGGGCTGAGGCAAAGGCAGTTAGGGGCAATCAGACTGGGAGGGGAGGACAGTTGGGGGGTGAGATCAGGATGGCAGGGGAGGGCAGTTAGGGGCAATCAGGCTGGCAGGCAGAGAGGTTAGGGGTGACCAGGCAGGCAGGGGGACAAGGTAGGGCTGATCAGGCCAGCAGGGGGGCAGGGTAGGGGTGATCAGGCCAGCAGGAGGGCAAGGTAGGGGTGATCAGGCAGGGGGGACAAGATAGGGGTGATCAGGCCAGCAGGGGGGCAAGGTAAGGGTGATCAGGCCAGCAGGGGGGCAAGGTAGGGGTGATCAGGCAAGCAGGGGAGCAAGGTAGAGGTGATCAGGCTGGCAGGGGGGCAAAGTAGGGGAAATTAGGCCAGCAGGCAGAGGGGTTAGGGGCAATCAGGCAGGAAGGCAGACGAATAGTTAGGAGCCAGTCATTCTGGATTGCAAGAAGGATGTCTGACTACCAATTTAAACCAGCAGTTGGCCATCCCCAAGGGGTCCCAAATTGGATAGGGTGCAGGTCGGGCTGAGGAACCCCTGCCCATGCACGAATTTTGTACACGGGGCCTCTAGTGCATTATAAAAAGGAAAACCTTTACCAGGTCTTATAAATTGTGGAGGTTTACATCTGAACTGGGATAAAAACTGCACATTTCAATAGTTAAAAATCATAGTTTGATAAAATGAATTGTTGTCACTCTAGTTAAAAAAATAAGAGGGAAATTCCGCTTTTCCAGGTTAGGGTCCACTTTCATTGCCACACAAAAGGCGATTATAGCCACTTTTCCTGAAGTTGCATGTTCTTGAGTAACAATTACGCTGCCTAGACAGAGCTTTGGGCTTTGGTAAAGATTCAAAGAAATTGGCTTTTTCCAAACTCCCTTGAATCTCCTAAATGGATTCCCTCTTATCCTGTGGTTCAGGGCATTGTGGTGTTGAGAATGTGGGATTTCCAAAATTCTCTAAAGTTTATATAGTAAATATAAAAATTATGCCCATTTGATGTTTCCTCGGACATTTTTTTTCTTTCAAACTCAACCAAGTCATTACAAAAAGGCAGCACCAGATGTATGAAAATAGGCAATGTATGACCGATTATAAATATATAAAGTCTAATAGCTTTATATTAAAAAGATGTGAGAAAGAAGCAAAGCAAAGGGCAGTGGCCATCAGAAGTGTTGTTCCCAATGCTGATGGGGAGCAGCCATGGGAGCTATGGGAGCCCCACAGGCAGCACAGCCAGGCTTCCCAGGGCTGGGCAGGTGGAGGCGACTGAGGTAATAAAGAGAGCAATTTGGACCCCACCCACAGCCCAGACAGCCTGTGAAGACATTCTGTGCCCGCAGGCAGCCTTACACAGTGAGCCCCTTGGGGAGCACCTAGGGGACTCAAGGAGCAGCTTCCTCCTCCTAACTCACTTCTCTAAAGTTCACACGGAGTGGCAGGCTTCTCATCCAAGAACAACCCCAAGATGTGCTCTTGGTTGGGAGTTGGGGATGAAGACACGACCTCCACACCCCTGCGGGGGCCTTGGAAGGGACCTGAGACCTTGGGGAGTGGTGGCCCTCTCCTTGCACCTTGGGCTTCCTGGAAGGCCTTCCTCCCTGGTGAGTGGAGTGTGGAGACTTTGTCCTCAGAAGCTCTCGACGAAGCTGCCTGGGAAGAGGCCTGTGCGACCGTTCCTCTGCAGGGTCCCCTTGTACCAGCCGTCCTCACGCTTCTTGTGCACAAAGACAATGTCTCCCTCCTTCAGCTCTATTTCTGCCTCGCTCTGGGGCGGGTACGAGACCACGACACGGTACCTGAAGGGGGGACAGACACCACAGTGGGTGAGCCTGACCCAAAAGGCTGGAGAATGACCCAGGGATGGCCCGCTGTCTGCTGGCAAGATCTCTTTCTTTCCTTTTCTCCTCTGGTACATTGTTGTAATTTGGGGCTACTTTTCTCCACTTAAAATAATTCTTTTTCACTTTTATTAAAAATTTGATAGTAGCCTTTCCCTGTGATAGATGCCTTTTAAACCCTGCTCCAGGCAGCTGGGATATTTCAACCCACATGCAGCCTCTCTGAGTCACGTCCTCCGTTAGGCCACCTCAGACCTCGGCATCCCAGTGGCAGGGGCGAGACAGGTGTCCGTGTCCCCATCGTGGCACAGGACCCTGACCCTCTGAGATCACTTCATAAACAAGGCCCAGTGTTTCACTTCATTCCTGCAAAACCTGGCCCTCCCTGTGGCCTTTGAACTCTTCACCCTTCATTTTCAGACCAACATGACATATGATCCCAGTGGTGACATGACCTGCGGGGCACCTGGAGGGGTAGTTGGTTTGGTTGAGCTCCAACTAGACCAAGCACAGACCTCGGAGGGCCCAGGGGACCTCAGCAGGTGCCAGGTCAGGTGCACACAGGGTGCTGTCCCTGAGAGCTGCCCTGACAGCTCCCGGATCTGAGACAGTCTGTCTGACCCTCCCCGGCATTCTGCCAAGTGCCCTAGCACCAGGACAGGGCGGTCTGGCATACATCCCACACCCACACCTGTCCACAGGCAAGGCCTCAGAGGAGGAGGAGGAAGGCTGAAGAGAAGCTGTGCTTGATCTGAGGACCACCTTCTTCTAAAACACCATCAAAGACAAGCTAGCAGGTGCCCTTGTGCTGTACCCCTCACCGTCCCAGCCTGATAGGAATTGCCATGCCCCTACCACTCTAACCACCCATACCTTCCCCGCCCTCAGGGAACTCACAGGGGCATGTGTGCTGACATCGGACTGGACCTTCACTCTCTTTCCATCCAGCTGGGCACGGAGCAGGGCTCCAGGACAGAGTCCAAGAACTAACTGTGCACGGGTTTGGTGCAGGCCGGGAGTAGCCATTCTCACTCCCTCAAAGCCCCTAGTTGAAGGTTGCGACAGACTTGGGTAGGCTGAGGCTCTGGGGAGTACTCGGCCTGGCCAGGTCAAGGTGCTCAGTAATGGTACCTCCACTGATCACGAGGGCTGGGCCGGTGCCACCTGGAAGGGCACGCATCCAGCCACCCCAGGCCACATTCTCCCCATGGCCTCACCATGGGTCCCTCTGCTAGGAGACTTGGAGAGAGTTGCAGCCTACAGTGGGACTGGGCTGCTGGGGGAGTAGGAGGGCAGAAGTGGAGGAGGGCAGCCAGGGGCCGGGAATCCACACTGCTGGAGGAGGGAGAGGCTGGCAGTGGGCAGTGGGGTTAGTGAGACCTGCAGCTCCATCCACATCAGCCTCCCAGCAATCAGCTGCCACCACGTTCAGCTCATAGTCGCAGCTGACCAGGCCCCGATGATGCCTCTCCTGTGGGCAATAAAAGACGACAGAAGTGGAAGTGTGTGCGGGGCTGGGTGGGGATAGCAGGTTGGTGGCTCCTGCACAGAGGCCCTGGGCCATCTCCCTGCTCTCTGCACATCTGAGTGACATGATGACATGCACCCACTGCAGTTCGCCCCTCCCACCCCTCCAAACTATCTCTGGGCCTTCTGTCTTCCTTTCTCCTGCCGAAGGCTGCAGAGACCCCTGGGTGCAGTGAAGGATCCTAGCGATCTGCACAGTGGTGGTGGCCTAGAGGGGCCTGACCTGGATAGAGAGGCCTCTGAGGAGACACTGCCCTGTGTCCCTTCCTCCCTGCAGTGTCCGGGCCATGGTCCAGGCCCACTGGCCAGGTGGGGAAATGTGGGAGACTTTTTTTACCCTCATCTTCTTTGGGCCATCAGCCAGCTATAAAGGCCTGCCCCTCCCCTGCCTCCACCCGTCTCCCTCCACAAATGGCCTCTGGCAGAAAGCGTCCAGGTGACACAGCAGCAGGCTGTCCTGAGGGCTCAGTTCTATGTGGAGCCTTTCCCTGGTGTATTCTAGTTTTTATGAAACCAGGAAACTCATTATAAAACAAAAGATTCCAAGCCAGTATTTCTCAGAGGGGCTCACAGACTTCAGGACCTGGGCCCAGATGTTTGTTTCCATCCTGTCCCTCCAGCTGAGACACCAGGGATGGGGCAGGGAATGTAGATTTTAAATAAATTTTGAGGTGGGGGAGGTGTAACATACTGATGTCTGAGAGTCAAGGTGCTCAAGAAAACATTGAGCAGACTTCATCTCTCAGCCCCACTGGCTCACTGGCCTGGTACTGGCCCATCTGGGCAGAGCAAACAAGCCTTGTCAGGGCAGTGGGCTGGGCAGTATTTAGGACATCTGCTTCCATTCTTTCTTTCAATATCAGTGCTAGGAGTAGAGAAAAACGTATGACTTGTTCATACTACAGTGTTAATGAAGCTCTGAGATGGAGAACTGTGGAGCTCCCTCTGCTCAGCCCCAGTTGGAAAGAGCCAGAGTTGATCATGTTCTAGTTCTTGTGTTCAAGTGAGGGGCCAGGTGAGCCCAGGGGCTCAAGGGGCAAAGAAGGAGGAAATGAGGTCAAGGCAGGAGCTGGGAGCTGGAGTTCTAAGCATGACCTGCGGGCCATCACCCTGACGCTATTCTGATCCCCAGCCCCAGGCAGTGCAGTCCACAGTCTCGGTGGGGGCTCGTTTTCCCAAGCTTCCCAGTGATGGCAGCCCATGCCCACCCTCTCCCTGACATCTTCATCTATCCACTTTTGTTTGCAGGTCTTGCCCTTTTCCAAAGGCTCTACTCTCTTGTGTCCTTTTCAGACAATTAGGAAGTAATACCATGCACAAAGCGTTCTGCAAATCCTAGTTATTCTAAAAGCAGGTGTAAAGTCACACTTACACTTTCGCTGTTTAGCAGAAGTCAACTGTTGCTGGCCCATGTTCTCCCTCCACCACTTTGGAGAGAGACTGATTCTCAGTGGCCCAGAATCTCAAAGCCACCCCAATGGCTCAGCTCTAAATCTCTTCATCAAGACCTTGGTTGGCAAATTGTGGCCTGCACCTAATTTGTGTGGTCTGACAGCTAAGAATGTTACATTTTTAAATGGTTGAAAAAAATCAAAGGAAGAATTATAGTTCATGACACAAGAAAATTGCATGAGCTTTAAATTTCAGTGTCCATAGTAGGGTCTGCTGGAACACCCACCCCATTGTTTCCACGTGGTCTATGGCCTTTATGCCCTGGTGGCGAGGTGAGCATTGCAACAGAGATTGTGAGCTGCAACACTTACTATCTGGATCTTGTTCGAAAAGGTGTGCTGAGCGGACCCATGTGAAACCTCTCTCCATGGCACCATTTATCCTGAGCTGATGCCATCCCCCTCTCCACACCACAGCCCCATTACCCTGAGCTGATGCCATCCCCCTTCCCACACCACAGCCCAGTCCTTATTTGATTCTGATCCTCTAACCTAGGGGTGTCGAACTCAATCAGAGAAGGGGCCAAAATCTAAAATCCAGCCTAAATCGCGGGCCGAATGGTTTACTGAACAGTCATAAACTGTCATTGTGATGGAAACGCAGCGGAGTGCAGTGATGACAGCGCGGTGCGGGCCACATTGCAAGGCCTGGCGGGACGGATTTGGCCCGCGGGCCTTGTGTTTGACACATGTGCTCTAACCCCTTGTAAAACTCAAGCAACCTCACCCTACAAACACGACTTCATGGACCACATCACTTCAGTTAGACTCAGTTTCCTAAGTCTCTAGGCTGAACTCTAAGAAATTGCTGGTTTTGTTAAAAATAAAATAAATAAAATAAAATAAAATAAAATAAAATAAAATAAAATAATGTCAGCAATTTCATGCGGTTCAACCCAACAGTGTGTGTGTGTGTGTGTGTGTGTGTGTGTGTGTATAATTGAAGTCAATTTTGGGGTAATGTTTAATTTTAAGATGTCAGAATAGGCTAAAGTTAAAAAAACAAAACAAAAATGCTTCCTGTGTGGGGTGCACAGGCTTATGGGGACTTAGCCCAGCTGCCTACTCCACGGGTTCCCTAGGATTGATGGATACAGTCTCCTCTCTACGCTCTTTGGCTCAATATCCCATCAGTTCTGAACAATTTCCTGATGAATCCTAAACTCAGGACCCAGATGGATTCAGAACATGAAATTCTCTCCCATTTATTCCCAAACTGGTTTTATCCAATGCTCACCTCCAAGGTCGGGACCTGAGTAGTCCTGGCTAGTGAGAGGTGTATAGTCAATTTAGTCCTAAGGAAATCCCTGCTATCCCTGCTCCCCAAAAGTGGCTCCAGACTTCACAGATCAACACACAGCAAGGTTTTAGAGGATGCAAGCTGGCCCTCAGCCTTACCTTTCTCTGGGCAATGGCTTGGGCTCAGGGCGGGCGGCAGCCATGGAGAAAGGGGCTTGCCTGGAAGGGGATGAGAAGTTCAGGTCCAAGGAGCCCGTCTTTCTGTGCAGTGGCTCCATCCCCATCGCCCCCTGAATCTTGCTGTCTATGGGGCAGGACCCTGCGCGGCCATGGAGGGACAGTGAGGACACTTCGAGCCCCACTGCACCCTGGAGCGAGGCGTCCACTGCCACCTGGGAGTTGTGGGTGGGAGAGATGGACGGTGGGGAGCGAGACTTCTTCTTGGTGGATGCCCCGGCTAGAAGTTTCAGCAGCCCACTCTTCTTCTCTTTCTGGAAAGACACACAATATTGAAACCCATTGGATGGATGCTTCTAAGTGCCCTTGTTGTTAGTGAGGCGGGGAATAGGGGATAGAAGGTGTGTAATCCTTTTAGAAACTTTAAACAGAACCTGGGAAAGATGTTTAGAGAAAGAAAACAAAGCCAATATCTAAAGCTTTCCCAACTCCTGTTTTCCTTCCTTCCCCCAAACGCTGCATAAGTGGCCCACACAGAATCAGTAGCCCCCTGGGCAGGCTGGAAGGGGCTGTTCCTGACAGCACACCCACTCTCCATCCAGGACTTCGTCTGCCTTCAGGTTCACCAGCAGTCATCATAATGTGGCTTTTCACCTGGTTTTCTAACCTTCACAGCTGGGGTTTAATCGTTCTGCCCTGGGGTTTATGCGATGAGCTACCTCAGTGGCCCGAGGTGGAGTGTGGGAGGTGGTGAGGGGCTGGTGGTGAGCAGGGGAGACCCTGGACACAGCCTTCTCTGCAAACCTTCCTCTGCACACAATCTGGACCACCGGGGACACCTGCAGAGCTTGTGCGCCTGTGTACAGGAGTGCACCTCAGACATCCCCCAGTCACTTGTCCCAGTGCTGAGGACTGCGGTGAGGGCAACTCCCCTATGCCCTGGATTCCCTCACTGGTGAATATACCGTGAAATCTTGTCACCCGGCAGCTGCTCTCCTACCTTCAGTGATGTGACAACCTTCAGGACATGGTTCCATACATACAAAGCCAGCGACATAATCACAAGGATCTGCCCTTACAATAATGAAGCTTGTCTCAGCATCATCTCATTAGGGACACACAGACCCCTCTCTGGGCCTAGAACCCACTCCAAGTACTGATAGAGGAGCCCCGGCACCACCCTGAAGGCCACCTGCTGGGGGGACACTCAGCACGGTCCTCGTCAGGACTCGGCTCTGCAGGAGCATCTCCCCTTCCTCTCGGGTTGTGTGACTCCAAGGTGCTCTACACAGAGGCTGAGAGCCAGGCTGCCCTGGTGACACCAGCCCAGTGTCCTTGGGTGTCTGCACTTCTATTTCCTTGAACTCTGTGCAGCACTGGGTGTGCAGGACGTCTCACCTCGGCCTCCCCGGCGGTGCCAGTGTAGAGAACATGGAGTGTGGAAAATGCTGCCATTGACACTGTGGGGATATTCTCCGTGTGGGAGAGAAGAATCACGTTCACCTGGGGCTGTGCCACATGTGTGGTGTGCGTGACTGCATGTGAGGGGAAGAAAATGTGGACACACAGAGAGGTGCTGTTAGAACCATGTGCTTGCTTTGGAATTTGGGCACTGGCATGGCTTTATTGGAATTTAGTTTTCTAATGTCCAATGGAAGTTAGGTGGCCAGCAGATCTAGGGATATGGTGTAAAGGGATGGCAGTGCACAAGAGTCTAAACCTAGACCACTGGATCGGTGATGGCTACCAAAAGTCTGCTTTAGTCCCAGCTCACCGGACTCTTAGGTTTCCTATTTCTGTCTTCCTTGTCTGCATGGTTAGAAGCTCCTGGGGGAGTCAGTGTGCTGAAACTTCCTTAAAATACACATATGTAGTAACATCCTTAAGCTAAGTCATTAACACTGTAGTATGAACAAGTCATATGTTTTTCTCTACTCCTAGCACTGATATTGAAAGAAAGGATGGGAGCAGATGTCCTAAATACTGTCCACAATGATAAAAGGCTAACATGGGCAAGCCTTTGTCAGCCCTGTTTCAGCATCCTCGACAAAAACATGCATGGGCGTATTTCAGTAATTCAGCCACTAGGGGGCATCATGCATCTGGCTCAGAGGTTGCCTCAAGACATCCTGGTCCCTCACCTACCCTGTTTTCCCGAAAATAAGACAGTGCCTTATATTAATTTTTGCTCCCAAAGATGCGCTAGGTCTTATTTTCAGGGGATGTCTTATTTTTCCATGAAGAAGAATACAGTACACATTTATTGTTAAGTGAAAATAAAGGAAATTTATTACCTCTATACGGTACGGTAGTACGGTAGTTGTCAACACAAACAAGACAAACTGAATCCTACAGTATCAATAATTTACTCATTTATTCAATGACAATCATGTCATCATCTTCTGGAACATCATCATAACAATCCAATTCCTGAATTTCCTGGTGAATTTCTTGTGACTCCATTTCTTTCAGAATCAGTGGACCAAATCTCTCATGGTTAGCGAGGGGGGGCCTTATTTTCGGGGGATGCATTATATTTCACTCAGAAGGAAACCTGTAAGTAGGTCTTATTTTCAGAGGATCTTATTTTCGGGAAAACAGTAGCTAGGGCTTCTGCTGCCAACACTACCGAAAGGTGTTGGCAGCTGGCAGTGAGTGTCTGGCTCTGCATGAACTGAGACCCTTAAGGGAGGGCACTGGAGCTGTGAGGACACAGAATAAATGTGAGGGGTATTATCTGATGGTCCATGGCCCTCTGGGCTCAGCTGTCAGAGCCCCCAAATCTCAAGTCCCTGGCCTTGGTTTCCTACTGGCACACTTCCCCCACTTAGCCTTCTCCAGCCCCTCTTTTATTCTTCTTCATGAGCAGAGAACAGATTTGATCAACACATTCTTGCTTGCAAGGCACTGCTGTGAGATGTATATGGAGCTGAGAGAAGACAGAGCCACTGGGACACTTAGCATGTCACAGTGAAGTCCAGCCTCAGCTGTTTGGAAAGAGATGGGTAATTGCAATGGACAGTTTCCTGTCCTAGTTTTCGATGAGTAAATCATTTTCTTAATTTGATTATGGCAAACACTGATATCATGACTGGAGAACTGTCCACAATAGAATTCTGGCAATGCCTTCCTTAAGCATCTGGTTATTACAAACTGTTGTGGCATCAGTGTCCTGGCAGTCACCTAGCACCGACTTTGCAGACCACTCCAGGCCCTCCCTGGGGTCTCTTTTTTCTGTAATGCAGGTTAAGTTTAGTTAATAAGCACTTCCAGGGCACTGGGAAGAGACTCATGTCAACTTTACAGGCAACATCCTGGGGAGAATGAGGCTTTACTGTAGGGGTGTCGAACTCAATCAGAGAAGGGGCCAAAATCTAAAATCCAGCCTAAATCGCTGGCTGAATGGTTTACTGAACAGTCATAAACTGTCATTGTGATGGAAACGCAGCGGAGTGCAGTGATGACAGCGCGGTGCGGGCCACATTGCAAGGCCTGGCGGGACGGATTTGGCCCGCGGGCCTTGTGTTTGACACATGTGCTTTAGTGGATGCAGTTTAGGGTTGCTCTGGGCTGAGAGTTACGTTAAAGAAAGATAGCTTTGCTGGGGTTCTCCCAGGACCAGGACCAAATTAGGGATTTTCTCGGGCCCAGTGAGTTGCAGAGAATGATGTTTCTGTTAGTTTTCAGGGATCATTGCTTTCCTACCCAACCTTATCAGCATTCTGCTGTCCCCAGCTGTGGCTCAAAACACCCTCCAGGGTGAATCACTTTTCAGCCTTGGTGGGGACTGCAAACAGTCCGCACTGTGGGAACAAAATGCCCCCCACAAGTCCTGCCATGGGAGGCAGACATGTCAGCAGTTTCATCCTCCCTCTGCCCCCAAATGAGGGTGGAGTGCTGCCACCCAGTGGGGACAAGCCCCCCTCTGTGCAGCCCTCCCCAGCTCCCCATGCAGTTACATAGCCAAGATCCCTATCCCACTTTCCTGTCATAATCTATGCCAGCGGGGCTGAGGGACCAGGAGAACGGTGCAGCCTCAGCTGGCCACAGGAGGCCCACCTCCGAGTCCCAGATGCATAGACACTGCCTCACAGAGTTGTTGAAATGAAAGATATGAGTACTTTCTAAACCATGAATGCATCTCACAAATATTGATTATATTATTGTTTTTATGATGTGTTTGGATATTTTTAAGTTTCTGCAAAATACCTAGGACCTAGTTAGTTCTCAATACTTTTCTGTTAAATAAATAAAATGGATTTCATCTCCACCACTTGGTGTCTCACCGTTAACCTTTGTTTTGTCTTGGGAAAGCACATGGGACAATGCAGGCTCTCCCACTTGGTGAACAAAAAAACTAACCAGGGAATTAGATAAAATATAACTTTGGGGCCCCACCCACCAAGATTCTGAAACAGGGACAAAAGCAGTGACTCTGATTCCGATCCCAGCAGGTGATCAGGCAGAAGCAAATGGCCATCTGTGTAGCCTGGTGAGCGATTGCAGAGGACTGCAGGCAGTGAAATCAAAACACAGAGAAGGGACAGATTCTAGGGAAGGTGATAAAATCAGGAAACAAGGGTTATTGAGCACCTGCTTAGGAAAAGAGCTGTTCAGCCACATCATGGCTGCCTTGGAGACAGATGGCATATCTGCCAGCATCATTTATTAGTTTACTGAACTTGAACAAGTTTTAACTGCTTTTAGAATCAGCTTCTTCATGTATAAAATGGAACACACACACACACACACACACACACACACTCACAAATTATCCTGGAAACTGTTTCTTGAGAACAGAGCCAGACACTCTTCTAAAGTCTTGTACATACATTAGCTCATTAAGTTCTTAAAGTAGACATAAGGCAATTAGTTAATAAGTTGCACAATCTGGATTTGAACCCAGAACTCAATTTCAAATTTTAACTGCAACTTTGCTGCTTTGTCCTGAGAACTAAGACAATGCACACAATCCAGTATGGCATTTGATAACTGTAAATGCCCATACACACTGTTCAGACTTTCATTTGTTTAAGTCATTTCAGGAAAGGGCATGGGGATTTACATAGAAAGATGATGATAAGACTCTGGCAGGGACAGCATGATGACAAGATGGGCTGGCTGGTCCCAGGTCTTCCTGGTGACACAGGCAGCACTCCGCCCCTCTGGGCTCCTCTTCAAGAGGACACCTGGAGAGCAGTGCTTAGTGCTCCTGAGAAGACTGAGGATGATGACATGCAGAGCACCTAGTGAAGTGCCTGGCACACAGCAAAGAGGGTTGTGAGGATGCAGAGCTCCAGTGGGTTATGCCACA